CCAATATTTTCTTCTAAGAATTTTATGGTTTTAGTTTCACATTTAGGTCCTTGATCCATTTTGAATTGCGTTTTGTGTATGGTGTGAGGCATGAAACCGGATTCATTCCTCTGCATGGAAATGCAATAACCCCAGCACCATTTACTGAAGAGACACTTCCTTCTCTTGGGTAGATTTAGCACCTTTGTTGAAAATCACTTGACAATAGATGTGTGGATATCACCCACTTTTTTATTTATTTTATTTTATTGTGCTTTGGGTACAGATTTACAGAGAAAATCTGGTTTGCATTCAACAGTTTGTGCACATTTGATTTCATGCCCCGATTACCGTCCCCAGCCATAACAAACTCTCCTCCCCTCCTGTCCCTGTGCCTACCCCCTCCCTGTGCCTTTCTTTACTATGCACTCCTGTCTGTCCAGCTTTCCCTTCATTGTGAATGCTGCCATACCACCTACTCTTGATGTTCTTCTTCCTTTATTCTTCTTTCTAACCATGCTGCTTTTTCCCCATACCTCTAAACCAAGCCCACTTCTTTCATAGTTTGTCTGACATCCCTACATCAGTGTATTCCATTTGCAAACCCTCACTACTGAGCATTTGCTCTGGACAAAGAGCTTGTAGTCCTATAAGGAAGAGACAGGGAACCAACATGATAGGTGATGTTGTTGTTAGGTGCTGCTGTGTCGGTTCCAACTCAGTGACCCTTTGTAAAACAGAACAAAACACTGCCCAGTCCTGCACTCTCCTTACAGTTGTTGCTGTGTGTGAGCCCTGTTGGAGCCATTGTGTCTGTCACTCCATCTCAATGAGGATCTTCCTCTTTTTCACTCCCTCCTTTACCAAGCATGATGTCCTTCTCCAGGGACTGGTCCCTCCTGATAACATGACCAAAGTATAAGAGACAAAGTCTTGCCATCCTCGCTTCTATCTGGCTGTACTTCTTCCAAGAAAACTTTGTTCATTCTTTAGACAATCCATGGATTATTCAGTATTATTTTTCAACACAATTCAAGTGCCTCAAGTCTTTTTCGGTTTTCCTTATTCGTTGTCCAGCTTTCACATGTGTATGAAGTATTAAAAATACCATGGCTTGGGTCAAGTGTACCTATTCTTCAAAGTGACGTCTTTGTCTTTAACACTTCAAAACAGTCTTTTGCAGCAGATTTACCCAATGCAAGAAATCGTTTGATGCAAGAAATCGTTTGATTTCTTGATTATTGCTTCCATGGTCATTGATTGTGGATCCAAGTAAAATTAAATCCTTGACAACTTCAGTCTTTTCTCTGTTTACCATGATGTTGTTTATTGGTCCACTTGTGAGAATTTCTGCTTTTTTTATGTTGAGGTGTAATTCACATTGAAGGCTCTATTCTTTGGTCTTCATCAGTAAGTGCTTCAAGTCCTCTCTGCTTTCAGCAAGCAAGGTTGTGTCATCTGCATGTTGCAGGTTGTTAATGAGTCTTCCTCCAAACCTGATGCCACATTCTTCTTCATATAGTCCAGCTTCTCAAATTATTTGCTCAGCATACAGGTTGAATAAGTATGATGAAAGGATATAACCCTGATGCACATCTTTCCTGATTTTAAAACACAAAGTATCCCCTTGTCCTGTTTGAATGACTGCCTTTGCACAGTTAAGTGTTCTGGAATTCTTCATGATGTTATCCATAATTTGTTATGATCCACACAGTTGAATGCCTCTGCATAGTCAATAAAACACAGGGAAACATCTTTTTGCTATTTTCTCCTTTCAGCCAAGATTTGTCTGACATCAGTAATGATATCCCTCATTCCACATCCTTTTCTGAATCAGGCTTGGAAGTCTGGCAGGTCACCATTGATGTACTGCTCCAACCATTCTTGAATTATTTTCAACAAAATTTGACTTGCGTGGGATATTAATCATATAGATCAATAATTTCCACATTCTTTTGGATCACCTTTCTTTGAAATGGGTACAAATATGGATCCCTTCCAATTATCTGCCTAGGTAACTGTCTTCCAAATTTCTTGGCATAGATGAGTGAGCACTTCCAGCATTGCATCTGTTTGTTGAAATATCTCAACTGGTATCCTGTCAATTCCACTGAAATATCTCAATTGGTATTCTTTCAGTTCCTGGAGCCTTGTTTTGCACAGTGCCTTCAGTAGAGTGTGGACTTTTTCTTTCAGTACTGTCGGTTCCTGATCATGTACTACCTCCTGAAATGGCTGAATGTCAACCAATTCTTTTTAGTACAGTGACTTTGTATATTCCTTCTATTTTCTTTTGATGCTTCTTATGTTGTTCAATATTTTGCCCACAGAATCCTTCAGTATTGCAACTTGAGGCTGGAATTTTTTTCTTCAATTCCTTCAGGTTGAGAAATACTGAGTGTGTTCTTCTCTTTTGGTTTTCTAACTCCAGATCTTTGCACATTTCATTATAATACTTTGTCTTCTCGAGCCACCCTTTGAAATCTTCGGTTCAGCTCTTTTATTTCAACATTTCTTCCTTTCACTTTAGCTATTCTCTGTTCAATAGCAAGTTTCAGAGTCTCTTGTAAGATCTATTTTAGTCTTTTATTTCTTCCCTGTCCTTTTAATGACCTTTTGCTTTCTTCAGTAACTGTGTCCTTGATGTCATCCCACAGTTCATCTGGACTTCTGTCATTGGTGTTCAGTGTATCAAATCTCTTCTTGAGATGATCCCTAAATTCAGGTGAGATATACTCAAAATTGTACTCTGGGCTCTTGTGAACTTGTTTTAGTTTTCTTCAGCTTCAAATTGAGTTTGCATGTGAACAACTGAAGGTCTATTCCACAGGTGGGCCCAGGCCTTGTTTTGACTCATGATACTGAGTTTCTCCATCATTTCTTTCCACAGATGTAGTCGATTTGACCACTGTGTATTCCATCTGGTGAGGTCCACATGTATATATGCTGTTTATGTCATTGAGAAAAAAAAAGTGCAGTGAGTAAACCATTGATCTTGCAAAATTCTATTACGCAAACTCCAGCATTGGTTCTGTTACCAAGGCCATATTTTCCAACTACTGATCCCTGTTTTTTGTTTCCAGCTTTTGCATCCCAATCACCAGTGCATCTTGATTGCATGTTTGATCGATTTCAGACTGCAAAAGTTGGTAAAATTCTTCAATTTCTTCCTCTGGCTTTAGTGGTTGGTGTGTAAATTTGAACAATAATAGTATTAACTGGTCTTCCTTATAGGTGTATGGGTATTATCCTATCACTGACAACATTGTACTTCATTGACAACTTCTCATTTTCCTAGATTCATACTCCGTACATTCCATGTTCTGATTATTAATGTATGTTTTCAGCTATATCTTTTCATTTTGAGTTGTGGCCTATCGGCAAATGAAGATCCTGAAAGTTTTACTCCATCCACATCATTAAGATTGGCTCTACTTTGAGGAGGCAGCTAGCTCTTCCCCAGTTGTGTTTTGAGTGCCTTCCAACCTGAGGTGCTCATCTTCCATCACTATATCAGACAACGTTCCACTTGCTATTCATAATGTTTTCAGTAGCCAATTTTTTCAGAATTAGACCGCCATGTCCCTTTTGCTAGTCTTAATCTGGAAACGTGTCCACCATGGGTGACCCTGCTGGTATTTGAAATACCAGTGGCATAGCTTCCAGGATCACAGCAACAGGCAGGCAGCTATAGTATGACAGACAACCTGACAGACAAGTGGTGGAGATAAGCAACAGCAATACTAGAACAAAATGACAAGATAATGAGTAACATCAATATTTTATATATGTTCAGAGTTCATCAGATTTTTAACAGTGAAACTAAGCATTTAAAAGTTCTCAAATACATTTATAAATGGATTATGTCACCCTAACTGCTGCAGATCTGACTGCTGCTTGCTTTCAGTCCTGTCTGCTCCTGGGTGTGAGGCGCTCCAGTCATCGCTGATGTATTTAGTGCCCTCCTGCTCCGCTGAGTGGAGCTTCCAGGCCCACCACCACTGGGCAGCTCTTCCACTCTGGCTGGGGAGCTCCTGTTACAATTTTTATTTCTCTCCCTACCAACTTGATCTAATTCCTCTTCTTCCTCAGAGGGCTGCTCCCTGTAGATCTATGCTCAGTTTTTTTTTGTGGTTTTTTTTTTTTTTTAACCCTTTCCTTTATTTATTTGTGGTAGAAATTCTGGTGTGGAGATGAAAGGAGTAAGTGAAAACTAGCTATCAGGAGACCTGTTGGGGTGCCAGTTTGGGGAGGAAGAGTGGGAAGGGAATGAGAATGAGAGAGATGGGAAAGAAAGTAAGTGTGAACAGAATCCCTGACCCATGTCTGAAATAATAGTATTGTAACCACCAAAATACATGCTTTATTGTACTTAAAAATGGCATGGCATGCTAGAATACTGAAAACTGATGTCATCACTGGACAGTATTATAAATGCTTTGTGATTGAGAGGTGAGACGTCCATCTCTGTCTGAGGATGGCAGGGTGGATGGAGAAGTGGAGGGTAGATGAAGAGGAAGAGGTGATGATGTTTGAGCTGAGTTTTGAAGGATGAGTAGAAAGCAAAGGAGGCACAGTTGTAGGAACAGGACAACATGTGTGCCATGACCTGGTGGCGTATGTAGGTTAAAGTTCAATGCCTTAGGGAACCAAATATTGATGAGTCCTTTTCCTAAACCATTTGGGGTTGCTATACTGTGCTGAATAGCCAGCCCATGTCTCAGGCTGATAAACTGTTTCATAGGTAGGAATCTTGTCTTCCCTTATTGGAGGGCAAGACCCTTCTCTGTCTTTGTGGTGATTTGCATAATAGATACTCATTAAGTAAGTGTGAATTTTACCCTTTTCAAACTTATGCATTTGATTACCATCATGTGCCACTGTCATTGGTTCCTCAGGGCCTAGGACTTAGGGGCTTATGCCTTTTGTCTTATAAGTCTTCTGATGGTCTGTACACAGGCAGAAGCCCCACATGTGCTGACATGCAGCTTGGTCACCTCCATTCTTCTTTCTCTCTGCAGCCTGGTGCAAGCAGAATACTGGCATGACCCCATAAAGGAGGACACATACCGCAACCACAGCATCTTCCTGGCAGATATAAATCAGGAGAGGGTAAGTACCCAAAGCAGGCTGCCATAGTCATGCATTCATTTTTCTATTCAGGGCATCATGAACAATCAACGTGACTGTTCGCCCAAAATATCCTGAGCAGAACCTGGGAAACAGAAGTTTGGTTTTTTTTTTGTTTGTTTTTTTGAGGCTGTGCTTACGATATTTAGTTCCTTTTAGGGAAGTTGAAATGATTTGGCTTTTTCCCTTAAGTCCTTGCCTTTCCCTAGTGTTGAAGAAGCAGAGCAAACTCATTTGTTTGCTGCCTGGATTATGTAGGAATTCTCAGCTGCTGTCTTAATTAGGAAGGAGCTCTGGTGGTGCACTGCCTAAGGCATTTGACTGCTAACCAGAAGGTTGGTGGTTCAAACCCACCAGCTGCTCCTTGGAAGGAAGACTTGGCAATCTACTTCTGTAAAGATTTACCACCTTGGAAACCCAGAAGGGATCACTATGAGTTGGAATTGACTCAGTGGCAGTGTTTGGTTTTTTTTGTGTGTGTGTGTGTGTCTTTATTACAGAAGCCTTCCTAGCAGGTCCCTTTGGGGCAAATTTTCTTATAAGAGAGATTTACCAATAGCAGGAGTGACTGAGTATGTCACAGACTTGGTTTGGGAGATTTTGGTAAACTAGATGGTTCAATATTAGGCTTATTTTGAGGAATTTAAAAAAAAAAAAAAAGGGGAAGAATACAGACTAGTGACACACAGCTGCCCAGAGTTGCAGCTTCTTACTTGGCCTTGGGGTTCTCTGGCAGGCAGCTTTGCCTGTGTAACAGTGCCTCTGGAGTGCACTGTGGCAGATTCATGGTTGCACTGGGTGCCATGGTCAGTGGGGAGTATCAATCCGGTAGGATGGGCTGGAAAGGCTGTAAAATGTATCCTCTGGGCAGGGAACTGGAAAAGAAACATGGTAGCCCAGTCAGGGAGACTAGAGCACTAAGAGGCTTAAAACTTCCCATTGAAATCCAAGGGCAGTTCCACAGAGGTGTTGCTACCTTTCCTCCAGGGTGTCAGTGAGTCCTACAAGAAAAACCTGATGGCCTTGAAGAAGTTTGTGATGGTGAAATTCCTCAATGATTCCATCGTGGACCCTGTAGATTCTGAGGTGAGACACTGCTCAGGACACAACATGATAAGAGATGATAGAAGTGAACAGCATTCAAACACAGCTTCTTCCTGGAAACAGACCTTCAGTCCCTTCTACTAACTTTTGTGTAGGGCAGGAGTTTTTCACCCAAGGGCCATAACCTTTTAAGTTGTAACTCCCAAAAAGTATATGTAAAATTATGTAATTGTATTCTCTAGGGAAGGGTCTGTAATTTCCATCAGATTTGCAAATGGACCTGTTGTTGTTATTGTTATGTGCTGTAGTGACCCCTCCTTGGGATTCCGAGGCTGTTGGGTTTGAACCGCCTGCCTTCTGGTTAGCAGTCAAGTGCCTTAGGCACTACGCTACCAGAGCTCCTCAAATGGACCTATAACCCAAAAATGCAGCACTAACCCAAAATCTGTAAGTACCTAAGCTTGGCATTCAAGATCTGCCTTGATTGAGGTTTGTTCTGTCTTTCCAGCCTCATTTCCCATCACTACCCATTTCATATAGCCTCTCATCAGGTCACACTGGACTACTGGAAATGTTCAAACTTGGCATGTGCTCTCCCTCCTTTTTTCATGCTTTTCCATCTCTAGAATGTCCTGCCCTGACAAGGCCAAACTCAAATGTCACTATCCCCAGGACACCATCCCTATTCCAGGCAGTACTGCCTCCTCTTGTAGAATCATTAGGCTGTTAGAGCACTCTTCGTATTATACCAAAAGGGGTTGGCAAATTATGGCTACAGGCCAAATCCAGCCTGCTGAGCTAAGAATGGGTTTTACATTTTTAAATGGTTGAAAAAGAACATTTTATGACATGTGAAAATTATATGAAATTCAGATTTCAATGTCTATAAATAAAGTTTTATTGGAACACAGTCATGCTCATTCTTTACATACCGTCTTTGACTGCTTTTGCATTAGTGAGTGCACTGAGTAGTTGTGACCATATGGGCCCTTAAAGCCTAAACTGTTTTGTGTCTGACCTTTACAGAAAAAGTTTACTGACCCCTGTGCTAAAGAATTGTTTTCGTGTCTCATTAGACTGAGAACTTCTTGGAACAGGGACCATATATTCATCTTTTAATGCCTAGAATTTGGCACGGTGATTTATATAGGGCAGGCGCTCAATAAATGTAGGAAGCAGAAATTCTAGGAAATGGAAAGTTCTGTGGAAAGAGGAACATCCCTCAGGACTCACCCTTAGAAAGAGATGACTCAACACATACCTGTTTTTCCTTCTTGCGATATAGCTTTATGTTCAGTTTGTTGACGATCTTAGCTACAAGCCAGTCTTAAATTAGTGGCAGTGTGTGCTAAGTGTATTTTCTGACCTTGCTGTTTCTTCCCCTCCTGCAGTGGTTTGGATTTTACAGAAGTGGCCAAGACAAGGAAACCATCCCCTTACAGGAGACCACTTTGTACATACAGGTAATTGAAGTAGAGATTTGTTTTACGTTAGCACTGCTTTTGTAGCTCCTGGTTCCTAAAGCTGCTAGGTCCTTTGGTGGTAGAGCCACTCGAGAGAGTATTGGGTCCTCATGAGGCATCTTAACTTGGGTCTCATATGGGTGAGGCTTGTTGATTGTTGCACTGGCATATCAGGTGCTAGCTTACAGAAGTCTACTGCATCCTGACGATGGAAGGGCCTGTGCCTCATGTTACTCTTCGAGCATACACGATAGTCACATCATTTCTGACTTTTTCCTTTCGGTAAGAACATTTAAAACTGGCTTCCTTTGCTGAGGTGCATTCTACTATATCCAAGAAGACTCCATACACAATGAATGCATAGAAAACAGGGGTTCCTTTAAAGCATTGATGAAACAGATGTGGCAGGGGCAACCAAGTACAGTGCTTGGCATTTCATTAGTGATGAGTGATGGTTCTGCGATATAAATCTTGCCTTGCGTATATGAAACCTGGGTTCATTTCCTGGCCAGTGCACCTCATGTGCAGCCACCACCCATCTGTCATTGGAGGCCTACATGTGGCTGTGATACTGTACAGGTTTCATTGGAGCATCCACATGAAGAGTCACTACAAAAAGGCCCAGTGATCTACTTCGGAAAATCAGCCAGTGAAAACACTATGGCTGACAGTGGTTATTATCCCATTGTGCATAATGTTGCCATGAGTTGGGGGCTAACTTGACTGCAGCTCATAACAACATACGTGTAGAAATCAGTGTTAAGGTGCTGCATTTAAAGAACTGACAGGCTGAGCTACTTCTGCAGGGGGCTGAATGGAAAGAGAGCTGTGGATTTTGTTTGGCTGTAGATCCTATTTCTCAAGCAGTATTTCCTTACTTCCAGTTCTAGAAAATTTCATACTCCGAGGATTTTATATCAGAGATAAGACTCTCCCAAAAAATGCACAAATGCTACATCTGTACCAGTCATCTTCTGCTAGAATTCCTCCAGATAATTTCAGAAGTCAGTTTTCTGTTGGCTTTTCTTTCATTTGGTGCCCCAGCTTGGGAGAGGAAAAAGGGAAGTTACTATTGTGTCAGTTCTGACTCATGGCGACCCCATATACAACAGAATGAAACACTGCCTGGCCCTGAGCCATCCTTGTATCATTGCTGTGTTCCAGGCCTATTGTTGCAGCCACGGTTGTCAGTCCATCTCGTCAAGGGTCTTCCTCTTTTTCTCTAGCCCACTACTTTACAAAGTGTGATGTCCTTCTCCAGGGACTGGTCCCTCCTGGTAACATGTCCAAAGTGTGTGAGATGAAGGTTTGCCATCCTTGCTTCTAAGGAACATTCTGGCTGTAGTTCTTCCAAGACAGATTTATTCATTGTTCTGGCAGTCCACTGTATATTCAATATTCTTCAACAACACTGTAATTCAAATGTATCGATTCTTTTTGGTATTCATCACCACCCATCTTTCACATACATATAAGGTGACTGAAAATACCATGGCTTGGGTCAGGCCCACCTTTGTCCTCAAACTGACATTTTTCCTTTTTAAGATTTTAAAGGTCTTTTGCAGCAGATGTGCCCAATGCAGTTTGTTGTGTTTTCTTGACTGCTGCTTCCATGGGTGATGGCTGTGGATCCAAATAAAATGAAATCTTTTGACAACTCCACTATTTTCTCCAGTTACAGTGAACACAGAAAGGGAAGTTAGGGTCAAGAGTTTTAGAAATTACAACTAAGAACTTCCTTATTGTGAAACTCAAACTGATGGTAGCCACAGACTGCTCATTTTCCCAACCAGAAGTCTATGTTCTGTGCCACCCAGGCTGTAAGGAATGACATTTTCCACTGCAGGGTATGAAAGTGCCACAGGTTTGGTATCTAAAGGTTATATGTTAAGTGACCTAGCTATTGTTCTTGGGCTTGGTCCACTTAACTATGACATTTTCAGGCAGTTTTGTCTGTGGCTTATCTACTCAAAGGCCATCCTCCAGAAACTCTGGGAGGCTTTTCAGAAAGCAGAATGTAAAACTAAGTATAGAACAATCTCGACTGCATATATATTCTTAATGCTCAGGAAAAAAACTGGAACAAGGTATCATTTTTGGCATTTTCTATAAACACACCTTAATTATTTTAATTCTCAGAGAAAAAACTTCATTTTGAGATTATTTTTCGTATTAACGCTCGATTACTATTTTACTCTAAAATGTATCCTGAGCCCTGATGATTAATTATGGTCTCCCTCTGCAGGACCGCCTGGGGCTAAAGGAAATGGACAAGGCAGGAAAGCTTGTCTTCCTGGCTGCAGAAGGGGACCATCTACAACTGTCTGAAGAGTGGTTTGATGCCCACATCATCCCCTTCCTTAAGTGAAACTCTGTTTGCAGCCAGGGGAGCTCCTTCCATTTCTAAATAGTGTGGGAGATGGTTCCCATCACATCAAAACCCGAGCTCAGATCCAGCTTGCAACTAATCCTTCTCCCGTCATCATCTAACATGCCCTGCTCGGAAAGATCTAAGATCCGAATCTTATCCTTTGCCTTGTCCTATCACCATATGGTGTTCAGAATGCAAGTTTAATTAGCTAATAACCATGGAGATTATTTTACAGCCCTTTTATGTGGTTAGACTCAGTCTCAGGAAAGGGAGTCTGTTGCAGATCAGTGCCAGAACTGCATCTAGTCCAGAAGAGACTGAACCAAAGCAACGAAAGATCCTAAGGGCAGATACCTTTTCTGGGGGATTTAGAAAAGTCACATTTTAACTAAAACACTAGCACCAATGCCCGAGTTATATTAAATACTTGGTTTTGCTGGTGGAGATTTAATCTGTGCTTGGGAAAGTATTGCTTGGGTAATATGCTGCCTCTATGGCATCTTAGCAATTACTAGACAAAGTCCCCTTACACCCATCTTGCCTCATTAACACTCATTTTGTCTCAGGTAGTGATGAATTAGGCACTTTGACACAAAAGGAGAGTAACAGTTGGGTTGCTTAAGGGAAGAAATGTACATCTTAATAGCTAGTGGGGTAGGGGGATGGTAAGGATGGAAATGAAAAATGGGAAAGCTGCTCTTTCCATTCCATCTTAGGGTAAACGGGTCCTTGGTTTCTTCTGGATTCTGGTCACTACTGCTGGCTTTAGCAGACAGTGGGAGGGAAAATGTAAAGAGATCCGGCTTCCTAATGTCCATCTCAAAAATTTCTATTTACCAGCATACTCCAAACAGTCTCTGATCTGCTCTGTGAAATGACTTTTTGCTCAAAAGGGTTGGGAAATGCTGTGTATTTTCTCCTCCTAGAAAGCAGCCCCCATCAGGATATTAAGGACTCTGATAACTCCTGTTACAGTAAAGAGAACTAACCTCAGTCTACCTTTTCTCACATTTGTGCATTGAAGTCTTAAGGCTATCACCCCTTTACCCCCTATAAACGTACCAGTACTTTCTGGAAGGTTGTTCTGCAAAACGCCAGTTTGGGAAAATGTTTAGCTCTGCTTTGATGTAAGGACCTTGTTAGTGCTTTACCTTTGGTTTTTCCTTCCCCTCTTTCAAACCTTATTCAACCAAAAGATGAAGATATTAAGGGCAAGAGGCAGGAGGATGTAAAGTGTTAAATTTTATGAGGTCTAAAATAAAGAGTAGTTTCTTACTTTGGTGTCATTTTTCTTTTCACTATTTTACATCTCTATTCACATCTATCATAGATAAGTAAGTAAACAAGTTTGGTATTAATTTTATTCTATTTTCTGTATAACTTTAAGTACATAAAGGTTTATTTCCACAGGCCTCAGGAAATGGGTAGAAGTCACAGGACAATTTCTCTTCCCACCAAAAAAGTTGCATATTTTGGTAAGTGTTTGTCCTAGCAGGAGTAACTGAAATTTACACTAGCAATGCTGTGCAAGATTCTTACATAAATCAAGACCTAAATCCAGCCTGCAGTGGAGGTTTTAGTCCTCTGTTCAGGTGCTTGGACAGAAGCTACAAGCTGTTGAGAATGACGGGAAAAAGGAGGCAGTGAAAATGGATGACAGGCACCTAGCATGGAAGGAGAAAAGAATGCCAGATTTCTTGGAATGGTGTGTCCTTCCTTGTCTTCCCTTTTTAAAAAGTCATCTCTGTAGGAAGGTGCTAGGCAGGGAGCCCAGAGAAAGGTTCTAAGACTCCTTTAACTGCCTAGGGTGCAGGGCACTGGTTCAGCAGCTGGTACAGGAAAACCCACTATGTCATGGTTCAGGCAGACCCAGGATGGAATGCAAAATGAAAGGAATGCTTATGGGTAACAATTTTGCTTGGAATGCTAGATGGCAAAGCCTCAGCCTTTGGTCCAGTGCAATCCTTGCCTCACTTACCAGCAATGAAAAATTAGTTTGGTTAGAAGAACCAGCTGGAATCACACCAGCTTCTATTACCCTCATGCACACAGTTAGAAAAAGATTAACTTGTGTCAACTTTCTGATTGGTTAATTCCTAGGGACTGCTTTTTTTTTTCCCCAAAAGACTGTTGGCAGAATAACCCCCAAAAGCTGAAAGCTAAAACCACCAGTCCTGGTCTGCAGGTCCTTAAGAATGAACCAGTGGTGTGGTTGAGCTGACACGGAAAAGCTGCACCTTCCTGCAAATGATCAACTGACCTGCTATCCCACCCCAAATCTCAGCCTGAGGTATATTTCAGTGAAGGCAGGTAGCTGTGCTTCTCAGAGAAGAGAAGCAGTTTAAGAGCAGAAACGTAGAGAAAATCTAGAAAAGAACCGTCTCGATACAGATTTATCCCATGATGTGAAGGAAGAGGGCAAAGGATCCAGTGGCACTTCGCTTATCCAGCAATTTCTGTCACTGTGGTGACTAATTTCTGCCCATTCCATAGGGTCTTGAACTGCTCAGGAACAGGGAACTCATTCTGCAAATAAAAGAACAGATTTAAAAATTTGAGTTCAATCATGACCTGAGGTCAAATCTCACACTCTTCTCCCAATGCTTGCTTACACTTTGAAAGCAGAGTAGCATGAAGTGAGACAAACTGAAGTCATGTGAAAAAGCATGGCTATGTAGATGACAATGCCACCTCCTGCATGACCACTTTCCCTACCACTGAGCGGACAGAGGAGCCTTAGCATGCGGGAAAGAGAATAAAGGCACCAAAGCCAGATAGATGTAGGTGTGAATCTGTGTCCTACTATTCACAGACCTCTGTCCACAGATAGATGGTTAAACCTATGTGGCATGAATTGTGTATCCGTGACAGCAGCCCCACAGAGTGCTAGGACTCATTCCCATTCTTTTTGGCTACACCGAATATCTATTCAACTTAAAAAGCAGAAACCAGCCCCCTTTGGAGCTCTCCTACATAGGACTACCTCATGCTGCTTCTGTGTGCTTGAACTGTGCACTGCTGGATTTCCCCTACTCACTGCACAATATCCATTCAATAGCTTTCTTCAGTGCAAGAAGTCGTTAGTCCCTTTAACACCTACTACTAAAGAGATCAGGAGCTCTGGTAGCGTAGTGCCTGAGAAACTTGACTGCTAACCAGAAGGCTGGCGGTTCAAACCACCAGCCACTCCTTGGAAGGAAGGTTGGGCAATCTATTTCTGTAGTGATAATGCCCCAGAAACCCAAGGAGGGATTGCTATGAGTTGGGTCCGACTCGACGGCAAATAACAACAACAACTAAAAAGATCACAAAACTTACAAAGTCACCGCCTTCTGTAGGAATAAGGACATTCATCTCAGAAGATTTGGCACTGACTATCTCACAGTCCAAGGAATTCTTGCTCAGGTAAGCATGGCAGCCATCTGTTTTGTTGATGGAAATAGTTGGCACTTTACCCATTACCTGCAGAGAAAACCAAGAAAATTGAGTCCTACCAGATGAGTGGAACAGGAAAAGCTTTCACTGTTTCATAGGATAAACCAAACTACGTAAAAAGCTCGTTGGTACACAACAGATACTAAATGCCAGGAACAGGCTGGATGGAGCTCACTATAGGAGCCAACTCCTCTCCTAACACATCCAAAGATCAGCTTACAAACTTTGTAGAATCAGATTCCCACCAAAGCAACATCTGTAGGTCTGCTGTGTCTCTCTTAATTAATTCCTCAGGGACCAAAAGAAGGACCCAAGATATCAAGTTACCTGAACTTTGACATCTCTACTATTGATTATCTCCACGATGCCCACCACGTCATCGAACACCAGACCAAGTTTCTTACAGTTATCTAGGAGAAGAAAGGGAGCAGGTCAAATAACTTTTACAGAAAAATAATGTATTTAACAATCTTTAGGAAGGAGATAAGTAAAATGGTTCTAACTCTCTTGGGCTCTGGGACCAACATTGCCTAGGGCAGTGAAGAGGACTCACCTACTGTAATGGAATTAATTTTGCCCTTGATTTGCAGTGTTGTGTTGGTACACTTGTATATGTAAGCCACCTGTTTCAGCTCTGTGTCATCAATCACCAAGTTGGAAACATTCTCTTGATTTTCCTGTTAAAGAAATAACTTCTCAGGACTCGCCACTAAGCACACACCACCCAAAATAACAGGCTATCCCAAACTTGTTCTTTGAAGCTAAGCCAGAATCCTATACTCATCTGCTGTGCTCCATGCCCATCCCCTGTTCCAGTCCTGTTAGTTTTAACTCACCACTCTCCACTTCTTGCCCTCCAGTTCAAGTAGAGCTGGCTCCTTCTTTCCAGCTGGTTTGGGGGAGGGGCTGGCTCCTGGTTTAGGTGCAGAGAATGGTTTGGGGCCACTGCGTACTGGACCACTCTGAGCCTTCAGGGCAGGATTCTTGTGAGTCTTCATGTCATCAGATACATGTTTCAGCGCTGTACAAGAGCATGAGTTACTTGTTCCTGTTCCTCATACCAAGGCTTTGGCCTGAGGCAATAACTAACTTCTGCTATCGGAAGTTTAAACTGATCCTTAACAGAAACTTAAAAGCCAAAAACCAGAGCCTGAGAGGTTCTCTCACAAACAGAGAAGTATTTTTGTAATTTCTTTACTCTTCCATGGTTAAATTGCATACTCCCGTTTTAAAAAACTTGTTTTTTCCTACCTTAAAAAATATGTGTATATACTGAGGAGAAAGGGGAGTAGAATATAAATACACAGAAAAGATTTAGAAAGACATACATCAAACATACAATCACAAATTACCATGCTTAAACATAAAAATAAATTATGGTTTTTAAAGCAATATAAGAAAAATGTGACACTAAAGAAAATGTGATCAAAACAGAAAAGCCTCACCCCAGCTAACGCCCCTCCCCCTATACACACAATCAGTGTTGGCCTTTGAAAATCTAGTGTTTCTATTCATAGCTGTTTTTTAATTGTATGTAGCCATACACAATAAGTTTGGTTTAACCAATTAGCTAAGCATTTTCTCATATTAACCTGTAGTTTCTAAAATTATGTTTATTTTCAAGGGAAAAGATTGCACTGTCTCTCCCAGCAGGCTGATACACATGGTGCTCTTGAACATGGCCAAATTTGTGTTGAAACAACAATCCTGAATGGCCACTACTCTTTGTAGCTGTAGCCTAAATACTAATAGTTAAGCATTCCCTTACTGTTATATATTTATGTTACGCCATTTTTAGTATTAGAAATGACACTATGTACAAAACTTGTTCTGTATTTTATTTATTTTATGGACAGATTCGTAGAAGTATGTAAGAATATTTAACCTTCTCAACCCAGAATTCCAAGATGGCAGCACAATTCAGAATTCCACCAGTAGTATATAATGTGTCTAGTTTCTTTGTACCAACATTAGGTAATTCTTAGCAAATTTTCAGGAGCTCTGGTAGCATAGTGCCTAAGGCACTTGACTGCTAACCAGAAGGCTGGCGGTTCAAACCCACCAGCCACTCCTCGGAAGAAAGGCTGGGCAATCCTACTTCTGTAGTGATACTGCCTCGGTAACCCAAGGAGGGGTCGCTATGCGTCGGGGGGCCGACTCGACGGCAAACAACAACAACAACAACATGCAAATTTTCTATGTGACTAGTATACTTCCTCATAGGGAGTTAAGCCCATCCAGTGTTCCAAGTCACAGGACTTCCCAGAGAGGCCACTATGGTAACATGGAAAAAGCCCTGACGAAACCACCAGCGCCATACCTCAGCACAAAATATATATATACCACTTAATGTTAAATCACTCTCCCGTGGGGACAGAGGGCTTCCCCAAGTGTAATCACATTTTCAATGTCCATTTAGGCCAGCTCTGTGGTCCCTTCAGGTAACCTGAAGGAACATGACACCTCAAATTAATTCTTCCATACACAAGCCAGGGTTCTGGTTTACAGATTAAGTGTTGTGTCTCTGGTTGCTAAGGTCTGGCTCAAAGTATTCACTTACCATGTGTGATGCTCTCCCCCTGATTAATCTGGGCAAACAGTGCTGAGCGTGAAGCAGAGTCATCTGAGCCTGAACTGGTGGGAACTGGGGGGGGAGGCGGGCCAGGTGGGGGAGGAGGAGGACCTGATCCAGCAGAGGGTCCAGATGGCAATCCACTCAGTTCTTTTGCCACAGGCCCCTGGAACAATCAGCAGAAGTAATAGTCTTTCCCTCTGTACCATTTCCAGTAGGACCCTACCACGAATCCAGGGTACTTAACTGAAATAATAATTAATGCTCTCTACCCACATTCCACGTGGCTTTACTCCTTTTCACCCTTGCCCAAGGATCCACTTTGCTGCTCTTTTTCTCAGCTTTCACATCGACCTAATTCTAGCTCTAAACCCACACTTCTAAAAATCTACTTCACATCTCCTTTACCTAGTGTCACCAGTGCTCAGAGTAACAAGCCCCAAAGTAATTTTATCCTCTCCTGCTGTTCCCCTACCTGTGCAATCACTACTTTGTACCTATTTCAGTGAAAGACATTACCATCCAAGATTGACTATTCAGTCTTTTTTGAGTCTTCCAACTCCTTCCATATATTTAATTAAATTTTTCTGTAATCTTGATTATCTCCTGCAAATTCCTTTGTATGAGCCCCTACAACCATGAGGACTTCTACCATCAGAGCATAAGCCCTTATTCTTGACCTACTAAGACTCTTAAGAACAAATATGATCATTATCACTCACTTGCTTAAACACTTACGACAGTAACATATCACTTACAGAGTCTTTCCAGCCTTTTCTCCTGAAAACTCTGACCATCTCCTCTTATTAAAGCCAGAGATGACCAATTTCCACATTTATTCTGTTGCTTCAGCAGTTCCTTTTGTTAACATCCTAATTTCTTTCCACTTTTCAATCTCTTATACTTTTTTCAATCTCAGATCAGAGTACACCTCTTCAAAGTACCATCTCTCCCTGGAAACAATCAGTCCAAGGATATGATGGACCCTGAGACCAGAACTAGATGGTACCTGGCTACCCATGCCAACTGCTCAGAAAGGGATCAAACCTGGAGATCCTGGATAGAGTGGGAGGAAAAATGTGGACCAAAATCCAAAAACACAAAAATGACCAGAATTACTGGTTGGATAGAGCCTGGTGGAACCCCCAAGACTATGGCCCCAGGTTACCATTGGGCCTAGAATTGGACTCACTCCCATAGATTGGCTCTCAGCCCAACAGTAGAAAGACCTATATGCAAAACACCTATCCCAAGACAATGTACCCATCTACTCTAGAGAGATACACCCCTTAGAGCAATTGGCCATGGGGCACCAGAGGGAAAGCTAGACACATAGGAGTACACACAGAGGGGGTAGGCACAGGAATGGGAGGGGAGGAGAATTTGTTATGGCTGGGGATGGTAACCAGGGCGTGAAATCAAATGTGCATGAACTGTTGAATGTAAAACAAATTTTGCTCTATAAATTTGCACCCAAAGCACAGTAAGATTTAAAAAAAAAAAAAAAATAAGTACCATCTCTCCCAATGAGAATAACTCTTCCCCTCATACTCTGTATCTTTATTATAGCATTTAGCTTGGTGGCTTGTACTAAGGTTTTATATCTGTATCTTTAAGTTCCCTTAAGGACCTGTGTCTCCCCTTCTGAACTTACCACTGTCCCTGACTCATGTTTACTGAAATTTAATAGAACGGAATATTCTTTCTCCTTTGCCCCTTGCTTTCTTTACTCTATTTCCCCCCTACACCTCCTTCTGTCTCCCCCTTTTCTATCTTCCAGTGAAAAGACTATGGCATTTCTTCTTGGACAATGGTCTACTAAAGTCTAAGAAACCTATGAACTTCATCCAGAAGGAATAAAGAATGGGAGGAACAGAGGAAGGAGTCACTAACCGTTTTGTTCCAGGCCAGTCCAGTGGTATGGAACTCCTTAATGTAAGCCTGTAGTTCAGTCCATATACTCAGATAAGCTTTGACCCAGTCCACATGCTTCTTATCCCTGGGAGAATTAAGGAAGAACAAGTTACAGGAAGCCAAAGTACATTACAATAGTGGTTCCAGAATCCCTCCTTCCTATAGCCTTACATCCTCTCCTGCATTTCTTAGAGCCTGCTTAATGGTAGTAGCTTTTCTATCATTGTAATGCCTTAAAAAAAAAAAAAAATCCATCTATGCTCTATTACTCCAATCAGACCAAACTCCATTTGGATAGGTACTTTGGATTATCTCTATGTCTTATAACAATGATTCTCAAATTCTTTTTTTTTTTTCTCAGTAGTAGAACTGTTTTTTCTAAGTACAGCTTACACAGAACCTAATATAAAATTCTATTACGTTATAACACATAACCTAATATATAAACTGATAAAAGCAGACATTCTGACAATGAAGCTATGGTGGAAATCTCTTGAGCATCTCTGTGTTAACTCTAGGGCCCCAGGAAACTCAATGCTTTATAGTATAGTGCCTTACCTTACGTCAAAATATGTCCCTTACCCTTTGCCCTAAAAAATTTAAACTTTCCCTTAGGAGGAAATAACCTACAATATTATAGAAATGGTACTGTACTATGTATCATTCAAGTTCCCTCTCTTCTAAATATGAGCTAGAAGACTAAAGTTATTTAGTCAAAGACTCAGTTCCCTCAACTATGTGATGGGGTAATGATGGCGAATAATCAAAACACTGTGACACTTAATTCATCATGATGCTGGAAGGATCAAGAAGTGGCTAGTGTTCTCGGAAAAATTTCACACATAGGAAGGCTTATTCATTGCATAGTTACTCAACAAATAATGGTTGATTGATGATGGACAGAAGAAAGGAGGGGTTTGGGTAGCTATGCAGCTAATAGCTACCTGCCAGTCATTCCAGCTCAAAATCAGCAATGGAAAAGTCAGGATTAGTTCACACAGGTGGTCAGACATATAGTGACTCTTCTCACTTGTTATATGCATTGGCTAGGAAGCCTTACTCTCAGTTTACCTAACTGCATGAAACTAAAAAATACCAAACTCACTGCTATCGAGTTGAATCTGACGCACAGCGACCCTTCCCTGGGTTTCCGAGGCAGTATAACTAAAGAAATATATTGTCCCATCTTCCTTCTGAGCAGTGGCTGGTGGGTTTGAACCGCCAGCCTTCTGGTTAGTAGTCAGTTGCCTTAGGCACTACGCCACCAGATCTCCTGCATGAACAGTCATGTTAATTTCCTAATAAATCCTACTGAACTCTTCATTATAGGGCCAGTGAGAAAGCTTCAACAAAGGGACAAAATCATATATAAATGGGCAAACTAAAGGGCATAAACCACACCACCTCCAGCAAAACCTCCTAAGCATGGAAGGGTAAAGATAAGAAGACTAAATGGGCCTCTAACCAACCATGCAGATCAAGCAAAAGCAAAAACACTTCCTGCTTGCAAAAGCAGCTTCTATGAGCCAATGTTTATCAAACTTTTCAGAAATCAGTTCTAAGATAAGAGACAACCAAAGGTCAGCCTTAATCCCAAAGTTCTACTCCAGAAAATAACCTGCTAGGTCTGTGTTTATTGTCCTTTCCACCTTGAGGCAAACCCTGACTTACACATCTTTGTACTCCTTGAGGACTCGGTTTGTATAAAACATGGCAGCATCATTCATTTCCTTCACATAGGGACCAGGCTTGGGAGCCTAGAGAGAGAGAAGCTGTCAGTGACTCAGAGTTTCTCCAGCCATGTATCTTTACCGCTTCCTGCCCATTCACCATCCCTTCCCTCCCCTGGAAGGTGCACTGCTCACCATAGCAACCCAACCCAGTGCCTGGATGCTTTCGCTGACAGCTGACAGGTGATTGAACAACTTGCTGCCTCGGTTCTTCTCCCGGAAGGTTATCACTTCTTGGATTTGCTCTGAGATGGGTGCCAACAATTCAGAAAGCTTATTCTAAGAAAAGATGCAGGAAACATTCAGGTTAGAGTCTTTCTATAAAAACTGATACTTTGTTCAACTCTGATCCTGAAGGCAAGAATTCTTTATGAACTACAATGAACACCCAAATACACTTTGTCTTCATCCTGCACAGATTCACATGACTAACATACTGATCATCACCTCACTCTTCCCCACATAGTTACAACTCCTCGGGCTGGACTTTGTGGCCTTTCATGATCAGGTCCCACACCATCTCTTTTCTGTCCCACCAACAGAAGCTAGTGGTTCAATTCTGTGCCTTTACTCATGATGCTCTCTTCTCTTCCTATCTAGGCAAACGTTCTTCAGGCTTGAGAGCACCCTTACTCTTAGTCCAGCCACACCAACTTCCTAGAGTATTTACTGTCAGAATAACCAAGTGTGGTGCCTTATCACACAACAACACAAACTATTAATGAATGAACCCACTGAGTATTTTTTCTCTTTCATTAATTCTTCAGAAGCAAGGACTTTATCTTATCCTTCTTCTATAATCCTTAGAGCCCTCAATGCATTGCTAGCCATACAAGAGCTGCTGAGTAGAGATCTGTTGAATCAGTGCAATTAGGGAGGCTTGGCATTTGAGCACACAGTTTAGCAAAACTTAGCTAGATGAATTTTGTATTTTTGTGTCCACAAAAAATGTGTTTTATCTTTCTTCTAAAGTTCAGTTTTCTGAATATCTGAATTCTCAGATCTAAGCAGGAAAAAAAATCTAAAGCAGGAATTATTTCTGTAAAGGGTCAGACAGTAAATGTTTCAGGCTTTACAGGCCATTTGGTCTCTGTTGCAACTATACAACATAGCTGCGCTCCAATAAAATTTTAGTTACAAAAACAGATCACAGGCCACATCTGGTCTATGGGCTCTAGTTTGCTGACCCCTGCTCTAAAGCCAAGAAAATGTAATAGTGTCTTAGCTGTGTGATCTGTTTTGGAAAGTGTGGGTTTGGAGAAAAGGTTTAGATAAAACCCTAACCATTCAGATAGATTAAGTAGAGTCTGATATATTTTACACTATCTTTCACTCCTTTTACATTATTTAGGCATGCCAAAGACCAAAAGTTTAAATACCACATTAGCATGAAGACTTGTTTTATTATCCCCTTTGCCTAGGAAATTGAAATGCAAAAAGAAGGAATAAAAGCAAAACTAAAAACTCTGGCTTTGATAAAAACCTCAATTTTCTCTAACTCAATTTACCACACACTGGCAACATAAAATTTTAAGGTAGGAGTAAAGGTGACAGCCTGTCTCCCAGCTGGTGAAGGACAAGGAGAGAAGTAGTGTTTCTGGAGCTTTTACGTTCTCCACAGCAGCATGATTACAGCCCAGCCACAGTGAAGCAACAGAACCACCTCTCGATGACCTAGAGTTATGGTCTAGAAGATAATATGATCAATTTGGGCTCAGGTGTCTAAGAAGCTATAAGAAGTTGTCTATTAAGAGAAGTGGCAAAGTTGCAGGGACAACTACTGTTCTAAGCAACAGAAAAAAAAAAGCCAGCATGTACAATAAATACATGTATTTCTTACTTACTGACATGATTAGGTTCCAAAGACTAGGTTGTTATGTGAAAATTAGCATTATGTGAAAATGGAGGCTGATGGGTTCGAACCACTGACCTTTCAGATCACAAAACTGCTAAATTACATCATTATATAACTGCCAAACCACTGAGAATCATGGCTCAGTCAAGCTGACACATAACCTTAACCTTCATAGCCTAGCACCTGGGTGTTCTTTACTACCAGATACACATCAATACACAAAATAATTGGGTAGATTTTTTACTATTGTCATACGTGTGAAATGTAGGGTAATAAGAGTCACTAAGTAAGGAGTTGTTGTTGTTGTTGTTATATGCCATTGAGTCGGCCCTGACTCATAGAGACCCCTCCTTGGGTTTCCGAGGCAGTATCACTACAGAAGTAGGGTTGCCCAACCTTCCTTCTGAGGAGTGGCTGGTGGGTTTGAACCACCAGCCTTCTGGTTAGCAGTCAAGTGTGTTAGGCATTATGCTACCAGAGCTCCTATATGTATGTATTGGCACATTCTGATAATGGTACTTTAAGTCTGACTCTACCTTGGGCCTTGGTGCGAATGTACACTATCATGAAACTGGTAGGTCTACTTTCCCATATTGTGATAGTTTACCAGAAACATCTTATCCTGAGCATCGAACTAAAACTAAACCAACTAGTAGTAAACTTACACCTGCTGGTTGCTGGCACTGCGAAGCTGTAACCAAGAGAGCTCGCTCCAACTTCAGACCTGTGTGGACCATCTCTGCCTGCCAGAAAAAGAGAAGAATCAGCTATTGATTGCACATTACAACTAGAGTGGTCCTGATAAGAATAACCTGAAACCTCTACTTCCATGTACTTTGGTACATGGCACTTCATGCTGCTTGCTTCATGTACTCCAGATTCCAGGAACTGATAGCTGAATTACATAAACCACTGTTCCTGCTGTAACTAATCAGGGATACATATCCAGAGTTGAAATGAAGATAATCAGGGAGAGTGGTAGGTGACATCAAGTTAGCAAGTGTACGTGCAGGGTGACATAAAGTGCCCTAAAATCCCTTCTACCTCGCATCACCAAAAAAAGCCCCTTTTTTCAAAAACTGGAGGTAGGAATAAAGGTAAAGGCCTAAATTTATACCTAACATTCTCAAGATATTTATTTAAGTTAGAGCTATTTCTCAATTGCTGTATCATGACTCATTACCAAACCTACTGCCGTCAAGTTGATTCTGACTCAAAGTGGCCCTACAGGACAGAGCACAACTGCGGCATAGGGTTTCCAAGGCTGTGATCTTTATAGGAGCTGACTGCTGTATCTTTGTCCTGTGGAGTGGCTAGTAGGTTCGAACTACTGACCTTCCAGTTGGTAGCCAAGCACTTTAATCGCTGTGCCACCAGGGCTCCTCATTATCCATTAGTAGTTAAATCAATCTAGTGAGCCACAACAGCACTTTATTAAGTGAAGCAAAACAAAATAATAACATTAGAGTACAGTATATCAGCTTGAAGTTATTCCCAGATAAAAAGTAAAAATATGAAAAACTGACATATAAAGGGTGTAAGCACTGTTTTGTGAAACTTTCCTCTCAGTTACGTATTTAATGTATGTTTCTTACTGAGAGTTATGCTCAAAAGAATTTAAGAAATCTAAGATCATACCAAAAAAAACCCCCAAACCCACTGCTGTCAAGATGATTCTGACCCACAGTGATCCTACAGGACAGAGTAGAACTGCCCCATTGGGTTCCCAAGGCTGTAATCTTTATGGAAGCAGGCTGCCTCATCTTTCTCCTGTGGAATGGCTGGTGGGTTTGAACTGCCAACTTTTCAATTTAACCACTGTTACCACCAGAGCTCCTTATGAGGTCATAAAGCACTATTAAAATACACAGATTCACAGAAGGTAATCTAATTTTTTCTGGACTTGCACTTTTGAAATACGAAAGTGATCCATGTTATAAGGTGTTTCAAGTGTTACAGAACTGCAGAGAGGTGAAATGTAGTCCTCACCCTTCTACTGAGGCCCAGGCCCATTCCCTAGAGGTAGCACTTCTGTCAACAGACAGTACATAAAAGGGTCAAAACAGATCTTCGAAAGGCCAAGCAACAAGTCTTCTAGGATGAGGAAGATGCTAAACATGGTTATGGCTTAAAAAGGATCACTCAGTACACCAGCAAGAAGGTTTTAAGTTCCAAAGAGAGAGACCATGTGTATATGTGAGTGTGGGGGGGTGGTGATGGTGACAACGTAGGAGGCAGCACATGAAGGGAGGTGGGTGGAGAGACACCTGTCATTGCCTGCTTCATTATTCTTGTGGGTTAATTGTGAAAATAACCCTTATTAGCATAACTAATAACTATCAAGCATAGTTTTATAAATGTTAAGTCATGATAATAACTCCTTTGAATAAGCCACCCTAGGCTGGGTTATATAACATGTTGGGATTAGAATGGCAGCACGTTCCTCACAGCAGAGATGAACAGAGCCCTATTTCATGCGCCAAGCAAGCTTTCTGTATAAAAGCAGCCCACACAGAATATGTGATTAAAGCAGGGCCTAGAAAAAGACGAGGAATCATTTCAGTGCTCCTTAGTGTAGAAAGAACAGAAAAAGCCAGGAGCCTCTCAAGAGGTTCTTAAACCAAGGATGAGCATAATTTGAAGAAAGTCACCAGTCCTAATAAATGGGGGTGTTGGCAGGGGGAAGGTGGAGGAGCTAGCACCAAGCATCCTTACATGTTTCTGCACATCTCCTCCAATCTCTTTACTGATCTTCAGGTACTCTGCCACAGGACCAGCAAGTAGCAAGTCAAATGCTTGCACATGTGGAGCTGCTCCTGCTATAGACAGGAAAGCCACAAAGAATCAATCAGGCATTGGAAAGATATATCTTTAAAACATAATTCCATATGAAAATGGAGAGGCAAGGTAATACAAAAGACACAATACTGGAACACAAGTCAGGAAAGCTGAGTTTTAATTCCAATACCACTACTAACTGGTTTTGTGAACCTAATTAAGTCCCTTTTCCTCTCTGAGTTTAATTTTCTTCATCTATAAAATGAAAGTAAACAGAATAATCCTCCAAAGTTTCTTTTAAGCTCTAAAATTCTATGATTTGATTGGTGCCTGTGCAAAATGACTGAGTTACCAATAATTAGAGAGAGGAAGTTCTAACATAACTTGTTATTTGACTTATACTGGAGTCATTTTGCTAAAGAAAGAACAGGAAATATAACACAAGCAGGAAGTTCTTGTGTTAAAATAACTTAACCACCGGCCTCCTTGCATAAGTCACTTCTTCCCTTATCTGTTCACAGCAAAACGAATTAGAGGAGACGAACATCTTAGATTGTTTTAGGAAGTCAGCTCCAAAGGATAGAATTCACTGCATGAGAAAAACTGCTTACTTTTTGAAGAACTGTCTCCATATCCACGGTGCATGTCAGAGGCCTGGGATACGGCCTCCAGGCGGCCCACTGCTTTCTCCAATCTTTCTACAAGATTTTGCATGTCAGCCATAATGTACCACCTGCTGAAACAGATCAAATATCACTTTTTATTTTAATATTACACAGCACCTATGGAGGAAAGAGAATACTCTGGGGGCAGGGGTAGACAGTATACCAATTTTGACAAACAAACCATTTTAATAATAAAATAAGATGGAAAAACAGTCTAACATATTTGCAAAATCACAAAGACCTCATTAAGTAAGAGAAATACCCTGGAAAGGTTTTCACTAAAAATAAATGCTTACTCATTCAAGTATTTATTCAGCATTTACTATATTACCACCAAATAGTTGTATAAAACTCAAACCAAATCCACTGCCATCAAGTTGATTCCAACTCACAGTTATCCTACAGGACAGAGTAGAACTGTTCCATAGGACGGCCAAGGCTGTAAATCTTTATGGAAGCAGACCGCCTCATCTTTCTCCCACAGAGCACGTGGCAGGTTAGCAGCCAAATGCTTTAACCATTATGCCACCAGAGTGCCCTAATATTTGTATAGGAATTTACAAAGAGTAGTCACATATATGTTTTCTCTGAAGCTTCCAAAAACTTTTCATCAATGGTAGATACTTACTACACTCTCAGAGACAAGAAACTGAATTTCAGTGAAGTTAAATGACTAGCCTGCAGTTACACAGTTAGTTAATAGGGAAGCCAATACCCAATTTCAAATTTTCTAGCTCTGAGTTCCATGTTTGATTTATTACCCCCACATCCCAACAACATCCTGCTGCCTGCATGTGAAATGCCCCAAACCAAGATGAATAATCTTCCCTGCCCTCAACAACTTATACTATAATAGGGAATACCTGTCATGTGAACTAATAAGTATAAAGCAAAATGGAAAAATGTTTTGGAAGTGGCAAAAGTAAGTTACAGATTGAATGGCATGTGATCTCGGGGAGGGGAAGAATATTATCAGCTGGAACGATTAGATAAGGATATCATGGAGAAGCTACCATTCGAGCTAGGCTTCAAATGAGGATGGGTAGAATCTAGATATGCAGCAGGAAGGAAAGGAGTAGGAATCAACGTACACAAGTCCAAAACAGCTTGTTACAGATCTTTTACAAGTACCAATTTATCTGAACTGTCTATTATCAACCACTGGAAAATAAGCTCCAAGAATGAAAGGGCCTGTCTAGCTTGTTCCCTATTATACTCTACCATCTAGAACACTACCTGGCACACAGTAAGTATTCAATAAATAGACAAGGGCTCTGAAAGTTGCCCCTACTATATACTTTAAAGTGTAAAAAGTTCAATATAGATCTACATAAGTATTTAATATCTTAAGTGATCTCATAGAAGTCACTGCAATTTCAATCAAAGCCTTGACTTGGGGAGATTCCATTTCATCAGAGCATTAATTAGGTCAGGTAACTAAAGCTGACTGAACTCAACTTCCTTGAAGTTGCCTAAAATGACCATAGCAAATACGATTCCCCCAAAGATGATGACATGCCAGAATACATCAACTCAACACACTGTCCCCTCTGTGGAAGAGATAAGCAGCTCTTGCTAGATAAAGTAAGGAAGACAATATAATCCTTGTCCATTCTTTTCTGCATATGCACTCTGGGCCCAATGACTTGCCAGATAATGTTGTTTAAAAGAGAATCAAAGAAAAAATAAGAACATGAATCAAATATACCTTTCTATTTCCTGGCCTGAAGAAGCAGCAGAAGCCTCCAAGTGTCTATTCTGCTCACAAATGGAGCAGCCAAGAAGCAGGCAATGTACTCTCTTTTATGTTATACCAGCATCACCCAAGTGCCCAAGGTGCTGCCCTGTTCCATGTTGGGTGTTGACAGAAAAAAAAAAAAAAAAAACCTAACCAAACTCATCGCCATCAAGTTGATTCCAACTCTTGGTAACCCTATAGGACAGAACAGGAGCTCCGGTAGCATAGTGCCTAAGGTACTTGACTGCTAACCAGAAGGCTGGCAGTTCAAACCCACCAGCCACTCCTCAGAAGGAAGATTGGGCAATTTACTTCTGTAGTGATACCACCTCAGAAACCAAGGTGGGGTCGCTGTGAGTTGGGTCCGACTCGACGGCATGTAACAACAACAACACAGGACAGAACAGAACTGCACCAAATGTTTTCCAAGGCTGTAATCTTTATGGAAACACTTCCACATCTTTCTAGTTGGTAGGTTTGAACCACTGACCTTTTTGATTAGCAGCTGAGTGCTTAACCACTGTCCAACCAGGGCTCAAATAATCCACCACTCTCTAAATTCCAGGGGCAAACGGCAGCAAATGCAATAAACTCCAAAGCCATCTTCCACCAGTAGATACCACCCCAGCTGTTATGAAATATGTTCCTTCATACACAATAGATGCTACAAGTTGATACCAGTGTTAACACAGATACACAGGTGAAGTGTCTCTAAAGGCTGCCAGGGCTGGTAAACACACATAAATCTTAAAAGTGTTAAGAATACAACTTCATGGGATTTTAGTTCCTTTTCCATTATTCACTTTATACTTGTATGCTTTTCACTGCTAAACAAGCTACAGTTCTGCTGTCTGACTTAAGCAGAAAAATAGTCTAACTATACAGTTATCCTGTACAGTTAATTTCATTCTACCTCTATCCAAATGGGAGTTCTAGTAGCGTAGTGCCTGTGGCTCTTGATTGCTAACCAGAAGGCTGGCGGTTCAAACCCACCAGCCACTCCTCGGAAGGAAGGTTGGGCGATCTACTTTCGCAGTGATATTGCCTCAGAAACCCAAGGAGGGATCGCTATGAGTTGGGTCCAACTTGATGGCACATAACAACAACAACTATCCAAGTAGAAGAGAACCTGGTTTTTGTTTTTTTTGTAGAGGTGCGATAGGATTGGAGATATCATCTGAAACAATGTCCAGAATTAAAGCTACTGAGTAACACACCTTTTCATTCTATATACAGACAAACTCATATTCTTTAGATGACCATGACCACTCTCAAGCCTTCAGCTACCATTATCACAGAACAACCCAGCCCATTTGCCAGGTGACCCAACAACTACATATATATTAATGACTCCCAGAGCAATATATCCAGCTTAGACCATTCTTCTGGGTTCAGAATTTTATATTCAGCTTCTACCTAGACACCTTTATCCCAAAGGCATCTCAAATTGTCTAAAACATAACATCATTTTCCCTAACACTGCTCCTCCTCCCTCAGACCCCCCGATCCATGATCTAGCACTACCAGAAATCACCTATTTGATCAAGCTACTAACCTGGAAACTTTTAGGCAGTACAGTGGAGTGGTTAACAGTGTGATCTTTAGAGAAGTCAGACAGATTGGTGTTTGAATGACCGTGCTCACTGGCTAAGTCAGTTATCAGACTTTCTGAGCCTCAGCTTCCTCATCTGTATAATGGGGCCAACTATACAAACTCCAAATTGGCTGCTAACTTAAAGGTTGTTGGTTCAAACCCACCCAATGGCTCTGAGGGAGAAAGACCTGGTTACCTATTTTTATAAAGATCACAGCCAAGAAAACTATATGGGATACTCTGTCAAATGAGGGTCACAATGAGTCAAAATCGATTCAACACACCCACGAGCAGAGTGAATAAATAAAAGAAGTAAGTGTAAAAGTGCTTCTAACAGTCCTGGAAAATACTAAGGATTCCATGTATGTTAACTAAATTATCTTCCTCTCTCCCACAGCTAATCAGTTAACAAAATGCACAAGCTCCATCTTATCTCTTGAATAGATGCCCTTTCCTTTCATCTTAATTGATAAAGTTAGGTCATTATGATTCTTGCCTGCAATAAATAACCTCCTGGCTGGTTTTGTGGTGTGCTGTTGAATCAATTCTGACTCAGCAACCCAACAGAACTGTCCCATGCAATTTCCTGATCTGTACATTTTTATAGGATCATATTGCCAGGTCTTTTCTCCTACAGAGCTGATGATGGGTTCAAACTGCCAATCTTTCAGTTAGCAACCAAGCTCTTAACTGCTGCACCACCAGGGCTCCTTACCTCCTAGCTTTTGTTGTTAGACGCTGTCAAGTCTCATTGAGACCCTATGTACAACAGAATGAAACACTGCCTGACCCTGCAACTATGGTTGCTGTGGTTTGAGCCCATTGTTGCAGCTATTGTGTCTATCCATCTCATTGAGGGTCTTCCTCTTCTTCAATGACCCTCTATTTTACTAAGCATGATGTCCTTCTACAGGGAATACTTCCTCCTGATAACAAGTCCAAAGTATATGAGACACAGTTTTGCTATCCTCACTTCTAAAGAGCATTCTGGCTGTACTTTTTCTAAGACAGCTTTATTTGTTCTTCTGGCAGTCCGTGGTATGTTTAATATTATTCACCATCACCACAATTCAAAGGCATTAATTTTTCAGTTTTTTTAATTCACTGTGCAGTTTTCACATGCATGACACAATTGAAAATACCATGGCAAATGTAGAATAAAATTTAAAATAATAAAAAAGACCAGAATTACTGGTCTGAGAGAGACTGGTGGAACTCTGAGACTACGGCCCTCATTCACTCCTCAAATGTGGAATTGAACCTACTCCCAGAGATCATCTTTCAGCCAAACAACAGACAGGCCTATAAAGTGAATTAATTGTATCCGAAGGAAAGTGCTTCTCAGAAAAATCCACCATAGGAGACCAAAAGAGCAACATGTGCCCAAAACAAACTTCAGAAGGCTAGAAGGGGCAGTAAATACAGGTGAATGGAAACGGGGAACCCAGAGAGGAAGTGGGACGAATGCCGTTACATTTAGAGGATTGCAACTAATGTCAGGAAACATAATGTGTATAAATTGTTGAATGGGAAACTAATCTGCTATGTAAACTTTCACCCAAACTACAATAAAATTTTCAAGAAAGAAAGAAAATACCGTAAGTTGGGTCAGGCGCACCTTAGTCCTCAAAGTGACATCTTTGCTTTTGAACATTTTAAAGAGGTCTTTTGCAGCAGTTTTGCCCAATGCAACAACACACTGTTTGAGTTCTTAACTGCTGTTTCC